GTGCTCTTAAAACCTCTCTGCTTTGTCATGACTGACCTACATTAAGCTCCCTGCCACAGGGAGCAGGGATTTAACACACACACACACACACACACACACACACACACACACACACACACACACACACACACACACACACACACACACACACACACACACACACACACACTTCTCTGCGTACAGGACATCAAGTCCATCTGAAGAATGTCGTTTCCTTATAAATGGCGTCTTTGATCATTATTTGACGGTTTATTTTGGGGAAAATCAGATTCCTTCCCACTCTCATGAAGCTCACAGAACGAGAACTGAGATCTGTTCTCTTCTTTAATAAAGCAGCTGTTTGCATCTTCATTTGTTCCATTTATCTACAGACTTTATGATCCAAGAGTCTCTAAACCAAATACCTCAGAATGAAGCAGATGTGCAGACACACAGCTGGACCCATTCTACAGAAATGCACCTTTAGTTTGTGACTAATGTTTGATGCAGTCCTGAAAAGCCTCCGTCCGTCTGTCCGTCTGCAGACATATTGTTATTACACTACATTAACCAAGCTTTCACTAAGAGCGCCTGTCAAGTCCCACGGAAAATCTCCATAATTTCTACTTCGTGTTGAAAGGGTGTGCAGCCGTTGCTTCAGATGATTTACCCTGAGTGGTATTTTTAAACGTGTACCATTAGTGTTTTTCCATCTGAGTATTGACAGCTCTTCTCTGGCTCTAATTCCTATTGTGGCTCTCTGATAAAAGCAGCAGGAGTGAAATGTCAGCTGCAGCCACAGGCAGTTTATCTCCGTGTGACGGCTCGCTCACCGCTCCTATAGTCCATAAGTCACTAATCTTCTGAAGATGGGAAAGCTGAGGGACAACGACATCTTCCTCAGCTTCCAGTCCACAAACAATCCTGGACTGAGTCTTCCTCGGGGATCAGCCTACCCTCATATATCCCGGACAGGGATGTGGATCACTCATCACTGAGCCTTTCACCTTGTTTAGCCGTGTGCTGGCGTAGGTTAGCATCCCAGTGTTGTCGACAGTAATTTATGTATCCAGCTGAAGCAGATTTCATGTTTTTATATTTTAGTTTTTATTGATTATTTTCTGCCAAATATTTTGTGTCTCCAAACATCTTTGGATTTGGCCATTTCCAAGCAGCATTTTAGTTGATTTACTCAGCTCACCTCACATGGACTCACACTGGTTACATAGACGAAAAAAGTAAAAATAAAATGCATTAGCCCTTATCTTATAAACAGTTACACATAATAATGGCAAGTGTTTCTCAAAAAGGAGAAAAAAGAGCTGAGAACGGGCGGCACACCTGCATTAGATTACATGTCAACCCAGCATTCTGACGCTAGACTACAAAGTCTGCTACAAAGCAATAGTCGCCTAAGCCTCGCATCGCTGTTTGGTGCGCTGGAGCTACCACCTGGGACAAGATGAGGCTGCAGCGTGTTGTACGCTCTGCTGAGAAGGTCACTGGCTGCAAACTCCCCTCCATACAGGACCTGTACACCTCCAGGACACTGAGGTGTGCAGGTTGGATAACAGCAGACCAGTCAGCCTGGACACTGTCTCTTTGACTCGCTCCCATCTGGCAGGAGGCTGTAATGGATAAATTAGATTGCTCTTATTTATTTGACCCTTATGACCTTAAAGCGGGGTCAGAGAAGTTGGGTTTATGACACCCATAAAGGTTTTTTTCTGTTTAGCTACAGTTTCCTGAGAGTTCTGCTTCAAAGGGCAGGAGAAGTATCATTTACACCCCTGTCTGTTGTAAGCACGGCCATAAGGAATGGGTCCAGATCACCCCTACAGATAACACAGCAGGCCCTTAGGGTGAGCAGGGGTTCAAGGGGGGTATATGTAGTGTGGGGGCCTCTGTTGAGCAGGACTGACTCTTGAGGCTGCTTGGGGAAGAGCCTCTGTGCCTGTCTCCTTATTTCGATATTGCAATATTGAAATTCAACCCTTTTGACTGAATCGTGGACTGTTTTCTCATTATTTTATAAAAGTCCCTAAAATTCCACAACAAGGCTTCGATTCACACTTCAAACTCCTCGTCTTTGTTTTTAATTTCTTCCTGGGTGGTGCTCCCCCCTATCTAGCCACACTCCTGAACAGACATTCCCCATCACGCGCTCTGCGCTCCTCTGACCAAGGCCTGCTCGCTGTCCCTCGGTCTAGGTGTCGTACTCGCGGGGACCGGGCTTTTTCTGTCCTAGCACCGTCACTATGGAACCAGTTGCCACGGCTGTCCCCATCTCTGCCAGTCTTCAAGAGTCGCCTAAAAACCCACCTCCTCCGCTTGGCGTTTCCTGAACATGTTTGAATTTGGCCCTCTTTTATGTTGATTTTATCTCACAGTTTTCATTGGTTCACTTTTTCCCTTGTTTTACACATTTATCTTCTACTAGAATGTTTCACCTTTTTTTGTAATTTGTAATCTGTAATTTGAGTTGCTTTTATTTGCTGATTAATTCACTTTATTTAACTTTTTACTGTACAGTGTTCAGCGCCTTGGGCTTCCTGACAGGGTTGCGGAAGGCGCTTTATAAATAAAGCTTTGATTGATTGATTCATTGATCCATTCGGACCAGAACTTTTGCCACAACAACAGGTTCTTCCCCTCCGCTGTTGGACTCATGAACAAAAATCGTAGAACTGCCCACTCCAGCTGCTTTGTTTCAGTCACTCTTACTGGCCCACTCTTACCAGTACCTACACTGAATTGTAATTAGTAACCTCTTCTCTAATTATTGCCTCCCTATTTTGTTATTATTATTTTATTGTGCTTATTTCTTATTTCTAATTTTTGCTTATCATTTATTGTTTGGGACCAAGTGCCACACAATTTCCTAATGTTGTGATTTATCGCAAATGTGGCGATAAAACCCTTCTGATTCTGCTTTTCATTTCCTGTGCTGGCCAGGGAAGACGGGTTTCAGACCGGCGACTAGATTCTGGGAGAGGAGCAGGAAGTGATGACGCAAGTTGTTTCCAATGACTCTTTACAGGATTTTCAAAGTAAAACTCTAAATTTGCAGCTGAAACAGGAAATTGCATGAATGCAGCCAAAAAAAATATTTTTTTTTCATGAGGAAATAATACCACATGGGAAAAAGTTCCCAAAAGTGTATTTTCCACGAAACGACCCCTTGAAGGCCAGTTTTCAACACTTATTACACACATGTATGTGTGTGTGCATGCATGCGTGCATGTGTGTGTGTGTGTAAATTTGGGACATGGAATTATGGGATGGCTGAAGGTGGAAAATCCCACCAATTGTGAAAGTGAGTGGTTTGATCCCAGGTCCCATCATATCACATAACAAAGCATGTTTGGGCAACTTACCAAACCCTGATAGTGTCCCCCTGCATGCTGCACAGATAGCAGCCCAAGGCTCCTCAGGGAATGGTCAGGTGCAGAGAAGAAACATAATATATAATATAATTATAACTTTATAAAATATTATTTTATTATTGTTAGCATCTGTCTGCATAAATAATTGGAGGTGTTTGAAGATGCAGAATCGGATTAAGCGGATCTTGGTGAACAGAGCATATGTGCTTGGATCTCCATCATCATTGGACATCTGGAGTTATTCCTGAGTACGATGTTTCTTTACTTTTAGTGGATTGTCTCGTAGTAGTAAATCCATGCTTGTGGTTGGACGCGTGGTCTCTGGTGCTGGCCTTTGACAGGGAGAGACGGCTTCACCTGAGTAGTGACTCTTAGATGGAGTGAAGGTTGATCCCACCTCTGCTCTGATGCGGTTCTCATACTTTAACACACATTCTGACTCAGAGGCGTCAGAGGCGTCAGAAGCCAAAGTACTCGTGTCTCCGGTCACTGGGATTAGAACATCTACTCATCAGTTCTACCAAAGGAAACATGACCCAGTCCAGAGTAGGACACCTGATCTGAGTCCGGCAGAACCGAGCTGAGTCAAACCTGATGTTTACTACGGTTCTGTCTGGCTCCTCTGACAACATCACATGTTTGTTTTCTTTAACCTTCAGTTATATTTCGGTTTGAATACATTACAGCTGATAAATTGTCCAACAGTGGTTTTTCCATTAGCTCCCATTTGTTCTGATCAAGCTGAGGTCAATTCCAGCTTAGTCTGAGCCGAAGTGTGTGTCTACTCTAATATAAAGGTTCTCAGAACCATTGTCTGGACTCCAGGAGGAGTTATGGTGTGTGCAGCTCTCTGAAGGACCTCATGCCTCAGGCTGAAGGTGAGTTAGAGCCAGTTTGAGCTATCCTCAGATGCCGCTCTCCGTTCTTTAGATCATCATTCTGTCAGCCAGATCATGTCTCTGGGTTTAAACCCAACAAAACAAATCCTTCTGTGTGTTTACTGATCCGGTTTTCAACGTGTTTGGTTCTGACGGGCTCGCCATTTGGACCCGTAGATCTTCATGTGTCTCTGAGCAGTAGACTCTGTTCGGGCTATTTTAAGGATGCGGAGCTTTGAAATGAATCTTGACTCATCTTCACACCTCCTGAGACATGCCTGGTAGGCATGCTGCTGTCTCTGGGGCCTTTGAGGTGAGGGATGGGAGGAGATGAGGGGAGATGTGAGGGATGGGGAAGGAGGGGGAGAGGAGAGATGGAGGTGCTGGGAGGTGGGATGAAAAGTGGGGGTGTGTGGAGTAGAAGCTGTGCCGGTGCCTGTGGCGAGACTGCAGGCTGCCCCCCCCAACATGATCTGCTCCACATCAAACATCCTAGCATCCTATTTCCCCCTTCTCCTTCATTCTCTTTGCTTATCACACTTTCTTTGGGTCTGGTCCAATAACTGCGGCTGTTGGGTCTAGCAGGGGGGGGGGGGTGTCCAAGGTGATTCCCATCCCTTCAGGTCCATGGATCTCCTCTAGAGACTGACTAGGTCTTGTGTAAAGGCTTGCGTTTCCAGTCCTGTCAAACATGTCAGGCCCAGCATGGATCAGAGGAAGCCAGTGTAACATCTGGTTTGTGTTTTCTCCTCTACAGGGTTTCTCAGCACAGGAGACCAGGCAGCTAAGGGGAACTACGGCCTTCTGGATCAGATCCAGGCTCTCAGGTGGATCAAAGAGAACATCCAGGCCTTTAAAGGAGACCCAAAGAGAGTGACCATCTTTGGCTCTGGTGCCGGAGCATCCTGCGTCAGCCTGCTCACCCTCTCACATTACTCCGAAGGTAGGTGTTCCTACTCAGATCCAGGACCAGCTGTTATTTCAAGTCCAGACTTGGCATTTTAATCAGGCACTTTAGCCAATATCTGTGTTAACATGGTATCAACCAAGTCCCCTTACCCACCCATCCATTAACCACGGCCACATGTAGCTGATGATTATTAGTGACTGACTGACAGACCTGCCCCCCTCTGCCTCTGATTGGTTTATAATGTCCTGTTCTTACTAGTACCTGTCCTGCTAGATGGGAAGAGTCTACGATGAATATGAGTCAGGCTTAAGGGAGACAGCTCCTGATGAAAAGCAGGTTGATGCAGTAGTTGCAGGGATGAGAGGCAATCCAGCTGAGAACAGCTGCAGTGAAGAGTTTTCTGTTAGAACTGATTTTTAACTTGGCCTGGTTGAGTCACCGCTCTGAGTTCATGTAACTATAAATAGACTCCACCCCCCTGCTGACAGCATGGAGACGGAAACAGACACGCTAATGAAAACATCAGGTCTGCTCCAGTTTATCTTATATTTATTCCCCCATTAAGAAAAAGCATTACAGCCAGTAATCAGAGTACTTCTACTCATCTATGTCTGGCGAATCCATCAGAACCTCATCAGGTTCTGTTTATTGTTCAGCTGGTTTTAAATCTTTTGTGTATTCTGTAATGGAGACGTGGAGCTTTCAGGTTTTGCTTTATGTCTTCATGAATGTTTAATCAGAATGAAAGGGAGAACTTTGATCCAGCTTCTCCGTTTTATTCAAAAAGCAGATACACTACAGACTTGCTGTGCAGTGGGACAGTGGTTAGAGCTGTGGCCTTGCAGCAAGAAGGTCCTGGGTTCGCTTCCCGGCTTGGGATCTTTCTGCATGAAGGTTGCATGTTCTCCCTGTGCATGCGTGGGTTCTCTCCGGGTTCTCCGGCTTCCTCCCACAGTCCAAAAACATGACTGTTAGGTTGACTGGTCTGTCTAAATTGTCCTTAGGTGTGTGTGTGTGATTGTTTGTCATGTGTGTCTCTGTGTTGCCCTGCGATGGACTGGCTCTCTGTCCAGGGTGTACCCCACCTGATTGCCTGTTGATCACTGGAGATAGGCACCCCCCCACCCCTCCTACCCCCCCTCCGCCACCCTGCGTGGACAAATCGGGTTCAGAAAATGGATGGATGGATGGACTACAGAATTCTTAAAGAGCAAGTCACCCCCAAATAAACTTTTTTTTTTGCTGATAAACTAAATAAACGAGTGTCTAATCATGCTGCAGACGCATGTAGTCAATAACTTGGCACTTCAGTGCATCTTAGTTAAAATTTAAATATTCTGCCTAAAACTGTCAGTGTTGTGCCGCTGTCAGGTAAAAACTCTGCACTGTATTTTAATTTAAATCTGCCACCGCTATTGGCTAAGAAGTACGCTATGATGTAAACTGGTACATTATGATGTCACAATGCTGTTGTGAGCCTGTGTGTGTATTTGTTAGCAGCTCCACCTTCTCGGTCTGCCAGGCAAAAGCATTTGTTGCATTTTTCAAACATGAAGTGGGAGTGGAGTTAGACTCTGGTAGGGGTTGACTTGCTCTTTAGACACCTGATTTTTTCGGATCTTCTAAAACATAAACCAAGACGTTCAGATGAACTTTGGTAGATCGATAACATTATAAAACCACAGTCAACATGTTTATTGGACCCTTTTCTTGGGTAAACCTTTTCTGCTAGGTGAAACAACTGATGTGCTTGACCTATGACCTCTGTCCTATCATGTTATTTGTGTTTGTCACAATAACACCAGTCCTTCTCTCAGATCTGTTCCAGAAAGCCATCATCCAGAGTGGCACCGCCCTGTCCAGCTGGGCGGTTAATTACCAGCCTGCTAAGTACACGCGGTCTCTGGCTGAGAAGGTGGGCTGCAACATGTTGGACACCATCGACTTGGTGGAGTGTCTGCAAAAGAAGAACTATAAGGAGCTGATTGAGCAGTATGTGACACCTGCAAAGTACCACATCGCCTTCGGGCCTGTGATTGATGGAGACGTCATCCCAGATGACCCTCAGATCCTCATGGAGCAGGGGGAGTTCCTGAACTATGACATCATGCTGGGGGTCAATCAGGGTGAGGGCTTTAAGTTTGTGGATGGGATTGTAGACAGTGAGGACGGAGTGTCTGCCAACGACTTTGACTTTGCTGTGTCTGACTTCGTGGACCATCTCTATGGCTACCCAGAGGGCAAAGACACTCTGCGTGAGACCATTAAGTTCATGTACACCGACTGGGCCGACAAGGAAAACCAAGAAACTCGTAGGAAGACCTTGGTGGCTCTGTTTACAGACCACCAATGGGTGGCGCCGGCTGTGGCTACAGCTGACCTCCATGCCCAGTATGGCTCACCCACCTACTTCTATGCTTTCTACCACCACTGTCAAAGCGACATGAAGCCCAGTTGGGCTGATTCTGCACATGGAGATGAAGTTCCATATGTGTTTGGTATTCCCATGATTGGACCCACAGACCTGTTCAACTGCAACTTCTCAAAGAACGATGTGATGTTGAGTGCTGTCGTCATGACCTATTGGACTAATTTCGCAAAAACAGGGTGAGTTCTTTTACACTGATTGGTTTTAGTCTTTGTCTAATCTTGTCACTTCTTGATCTTAACCCTGTTCTTAGAAATAGGGAGACCGACCTGAAATTGTGGCTCTCTGAGTTGTATCATTCAGTTAATATGTTTGCTTCATCTAGAACATTGACTGTCAGCGGATTTTAGTTTCAACCAAAATAATAGCTGTTTTCCACAATATATCATCTAAATCAGTGTTTCCCAACCCTGGTCCTCAGGAACCACTGTCCTACATGCTTTCCATATCTCTGCTTCAGCACACCTGATTCACAGTTACTCCTCAGGAAGACATCAAGTGCTGCAGATGCCTCTTAATTACTCATTCATTTAAGTCAGGTGTGTGGCAGCAGAGACACACTGGTGTTTGAAAGGACAACATGGAAAACATGCAGGGCAGTGGTCAGTGAGGGACCAGGGTTGGGAAACATTGACGTAAATACACCCAGTGTATAGTGTTGGGCCCCTTTTATCATGGATGAATGGATGAATGGATGGATGGATGGATGGATGGATGGATGGATGGATGGATGGATGGATGGATGGATGGATGGATGGGTGGGTGGATGGATGGATGGATCTGGATGCATGGATGTGGATGAATGGATGAATGGGCAGATCTGGATGGATGGATGTGGACGGATGGTTGAATGGACAGATTGATGGTTGGGTGGGTGGATGGATAGATGAATGAATGGGTGGATGGATGGATGGATCTGGATTGGTGGATGTGGATGGATAGATGGATGAATGAATGGGTGGGTGGATCACTCGTTCCCCCCTCCTGCCCCATCAGCCTGATGCCCCCCCCTGGTTCAAGCACCTACAGCCTTGATTTTAACAGTAACTCACATATTGGACTTGGACCCTGCCAAACCAAACAGATACCTGTCATTATCAGCAGAGAGCGACCAATCAAACATAAATCTAGTAAATCCAACTTCAATAACCTTAAACAGCTACCAAAAACCTCAAGTTCAGTAAATCACACAGCCACTCTACCTCCAGCATCAGTCAATATGGCTCTTTTTAATTTTCGCTCTCTGTTGAACAAAACTTTTATTATAAATTACCTGATTTTAGATTTTAATCTTCAGTGTTTATTTTTAACTGAAACGTGGCTGAGTTCAGATGCCTCTGTTGTTCTCACAGAGGCCTCCCCACCTGATTTCAATTTCAATTCTTCAACGAGGAATGGTGAAAGGGGAGGCGGGACTTTTTTTATAAGTTCATCAACACTTTTAGCAAAACCTTTTTTATTTGATAATTTTAACACTTTTGAATACACTGCAACCACTTTTAGCATTCCTCAGATTTTATGTGTTACTGTTTACAGGCCTCCTAGACAGAGTGCACCTTTTAATCAAGAGTTTTCAGAGTTTTTATCAATTTCACACAACTCCTTTGATAGGATTATTTTAGCTGGAAATTTTAATCTGCACATGGATAACCTTTTAGACCATTTAGTCACAGATTTTTTAAACATCTTGAATTAAATGGATTTTACCCAACATGTCATGCAGCCAACTCACAACAGAGGACAGACCCTGGACTTGGTCATCACGTATGGCCTGTCCACTGGTGTGTCCTCTGTTGTCGACTTGGCAGTGTCCAAACACCATTGCGTATTTTTTAACATCACCAGTGTTATCCAGTTCTGTGAGAACTGTGAGGAAGCGCCATCTAACCCCTGAAGTGGCTGCTGGTTTGCTTGAAGCTTTTAACAATATCCCTCCAAGTAACGTCCCCGCCCCTTGTGATGCCATTATCAATGATTTTAACAGAAGACTAGAGTCAGCTATTAACTTGCTTGCTCCACTCAAAACCAAAAAAATATTACAGTCAAATCATACACCTTCACCCGGACCGAAATAAGTGGCACACATACACACTGCACTGGATGCACACGCGAGTAGCGAATGTAACTTAAATTTCTCTTAAGCCATGGCGGACAACGTGGACCCTGGTGGAATGTGAAAAAGACAGAAAATGTCAAAAGTGTGGGACCATTTTTCACTTTGTAAGGCGGAAAACGTAGTCCAGTGTAAATACTGTAAAATGGATTTAGCTTACACCACATCCTCGATGCTGCAGCAGCTGACCAGGAAACATCCACAAGTAAATGTCACTTCTGCAAGCGGACTCAGAGCCTCTACAAGATAATGCATTTTCGCCTGTATTTCTATATATTCTGCGGACACTGTGTGACTTTTTCATTTGTAGCACTCAGTTTCAGCTCACACTGTGTCTGGTAGCAACACGTTGGACCTAAAAATGTGCTAAAAATAGCAGTTTTTACACAACACGTCTGACTTTTTATTTATTTTTGTTGTTATTGATGTCTCTTGTCCCTCGGGTTTGCTGTAGGAGGACAGGTATTTATGAGAGTGGCGGAGGAAAACGAAAGAAAGTAAATAAATGTTTTGTGATCAGTAAAATTTGACATAACCTCGGCAAACAGGCTTTCTCGATGATCCTTGTTATTGTGTGAGAAAAAAGAGTGTAGAAATTAAAACGGGCGTGTGGTAATAGGGAAATGGCTGGCGAGCCATGTTTGCGCATGCGCCGTGAGCGGTTCTGGTTCTGTTTGGGCCGCAGCCACTCGCAGCGCTACTTCAACAGTTATCCTCCTAGTTTTTGTCTGGCTTGCCAGGCTAGTAGATTCTCGCACGAGGGGAAAATCGGCTCAGGTTGTATACTTATTTGTTTACTGTGAAGTAAAGTTGAAGTGCTGAAGTTTTCAAAACTAATTTTGAATAATACTTGAAGAATAACTGGCAATTGCTTGCTCATTTTAAGAACATGCTATTTGATATAATGGTTTACAAACACAAAGGGTAATTTATTAGAGTACTTGATTAATCGACAAAAGATTCAATAGAGTACTCGATTATAAAAATATTGAATAGCTGCAGCCCTAGTCTAGTCCTGCTTCAGGTTTGATGAGGTTTCTGAGACAATATGTGTAAAAAGAACATTAATTTATTATCGTCAGTGTTTATGTTAAAGAGAAATCTGGTCGTCTTTTGGAGGACACATTAAACAGCTAGCAGTGCCTACACTACGCTCCCGACCATCCAGACTCTTTTCATGTGTCGTTCCACAGATGTGGAATGACCTACCAAGCACTACTAGAACAGGGGCATCCTTGTTAATTTTCAGGACCCAGCTCGTCAGAGAGATTCTTCTAAACTGGGACCCTCCCTGCACCCATCCCCCACTCTATTGCACACTCATTGTTAACTTCCCTTTAGGATTTATTATGCTGCCTCACTGACACCTAGGATTGACTGATTAGTGTTTGTTGTTAGCTTCAAGGGCAATCTGCTGGCTTGATTATCACCTGTGTCACTTTGGACAAAAGCGCCTGCTATATACATAAACATAAACTGGGTTGCTTCTCCATCAGCTCCGCAAGGGATAGACACGCACGGATTGACGGAAATGTTTTACTTTCATACTTCTCCGTCTCCTGGGGACTGTTGCAAAGCCATTCCCCGGCAGGACAACAGAGGGCGTAGCGCTGTTCTGTGGTATCCTGTCATGTATCGGTCTAAGGTAGTGTGTTTATATTGTATTTTTTGTATATAAGAGACTTTTTAAAACTGACAAATTTGTCTCTCATTCTCCTCCACCTCTTCATGCGCTCGCCACCTCTGAACCCACGTGTCCTGTCATTTCCGTCCACAAATAAAACGCTTGCTGCGTATCTTTTCACTCCTCCAGTCACGGGGGAATTAAACGTTCATATTTTTCGTGTTTTTTCACGAGGTATTC